AATTTAATTTAAATTGTTTATTTAATACATATTTATTTAATGCTATAGTCTATTTTATGGAACATTTTATTTTTATTTTAAATCTTTTCGATTGCAAATGTATTTAACAAAAATGACTAGTTTTTTAAATAAAAAGAATGCATTTTAACAAATAACAAAACATTCTTTTTGATAAGCAAATACATTTCAGATTAAAAATAAAAAATAATTAAAAAAATATTAAACAAAAATAAAAGATAGACACAGTTTAGGTTATTAGCATGATTTATTTTATTATATAATTTTCAACATTTTTTTAACATTTTAAAAATGTAGGAAATTACATATTAAAAAATTTCTTTAAAAAATTCAAAAATTCAAAATTTTATTAAAAAATCAATTCAAACCACCAGCAGCCGTTATTTAGTTTATTTAATCATTGGCAACGCTGTGCTATCCGTTAACTAACAAAACAATAATAAACAATATTTTACGGCAGCCTAAAAATATACAACAAGTTTCTTTAACTTAACTTACAAATGCTATAAAAACAAACAAAGCTGTTATAACGAAACAGAAAAAACGTTAAAATTTTAAAAAAATTGTATTAATTCTACATTTTATTGTTTAAATACTACTTTTATTTAGTTCTTTTTTTGTTGTTGTTGTAAACACTAATAACAATTAACTATAAATACTATAAATATTATACATTTCTATAATGTTTTAGTTTAATTTCTTTCCTTTATTTTTTGTATTTTTTTTTCTTAAAAATATTGATATTTTACTACAATTGCTTGTAATTGTAAAACGTACGATTTTTATTAGTTTTAAATAATTGTTGTTAATCATTTTTTTAAATGTAATTTTTCTGTTTTTTTATTAACAACCAAAGCTCAAACATTGACAGACTCTATTGTTTTAAGTTTTACGTTTTCATACTATTTAGGTGGTCTATTTTTTTTTAATTTTACTTTTGTTTTTATTTAGCAGTGTTTTTTTTTTAATTTTTGTTGGGAAAAGCTGAAATTATTTATTTATTTCTAAATAAATGTAGTTCGTTGTAAATTTTTTATATTTTGGGAATTTTCTTTCAAGTTAATGTATTATTTTATTATCATTTTGTTTTTATATTTTAGTTGGGTTTGTGGTTTTAAACATGAGATCAAGTTTTATGTGTTTTAATAAATTGTTAGTTTGTTTTATAATAAAGTCCAAATTGCAAATTACTTAACAACAACTTTTAATGTCTTTTAGATAACATTTACGCGGTCGAAAAGTTTCAAAATAGACTCTGGGTCAATAGCTCACAGTCAGGATTAAATTTTTTTAAAAATAAATCTGTTTTTACTAAGCGAAGGGATTATACATATTTGACACGGTTGTAGCCTAGTAGTATTAAGCTTAAGTCCTGAAAATGGACGCCACAATTACTTTAGGTTCGGCGCCAGGGCACCTTTTTTATCTGATTTAAAAGATTTTTCTATTTTCTGAAAGTTCTCGGCTAGATCTTGAAAAAAGTTGGTTGCGTGTGCTATTTATTTTTTATACTTTCCGAGTTACAGTTATTTTCCAAAAAAATAGTGGTTCCAGAAACCGAAACACCTTTATATTATACCCACTATCGAAACAGATGAATACCTCCATTGTTTTTGTCATTCCGTTCGTAAGACATCGAAATATTGGTTATAGACCCACAAAAGTATATATATTCTGGGTCCTCATTAAACTCTAAGACGATCAAGCTATGTCCGTCCATCTGTATGGCCGAACGGAAACAAATATTCCCTATAGGTATGATTTGGATGGTATTAAAAATGGTCAATATAGGTCCACGTTTTCGCATAGCCCCCATACAGGTGGCCCTCCGAAAAACAGATTTAATAGTCATAACTGTTTTAAAAAGCAATGAAATCCGGAACAAATAAGTTTCTTATGAGCCAAAATCTTTCTACCAAATTTTATGAGGATCAGTCCATAATTGACCCTACCCTCTTTAGAAAATGACTTTTAAGAGCATTACTGGCTTAAAAATACGAGTATAGCAATGAAACTCAACACAAATAAATAAATGTAAACCAGCTCTCCATATAAGGCCCCCTCAGAAAATTATTTTAACGCTAATTACTGGTATAAAAGTGCGAGAGCAGCGGTGAAATTCGATATAAACGCTCATGACTGAATTCAAAATACGAGTACAGCGATGAAATTCGAAGCAAATAAGTGTTATACGAACCGAAATCTATGTATGCAACAAATTTTACGACAATCGGTCTATAATTGACCCAACCGCCTATATACATATGTTCGTTAGAGTAGCGATTTTTTCGAAATGGGTCTCAAAAAATCCCTAATTTTGAGCTGATCGATAAAAATAATCTTAAAATTTTTTAGAGTATTTATGATCCATTACAAATATCACCCTGATGTTTATACGGGTACAATTCTTTTACAATATACGGTTTGTTGGTGGGTATATAAGGTTCGGTATAGCCGAATATAATACTATTACTAGTTCATCATTCATTGTAGACCTACCACGGATAAAATCTATATAAAAGAAGAGAAATTATGGCCAACAACAAAAAAAATTATTTGAATAAAACTGTATCTATCGAACGTTCTGCTTATTACTAAAGTCATATTATATAGATATAGATTAAGTTATCGGATTCCAAAAATGTATACCATAAGTAAAGTAAGGTTAAAGAGGTAATCAGCCAAAAGATACCCATCTGATACCCGAAACAGAACACATCTTGTCCCAGCATTAAAATAACTGACTTCCTGTAGCAGTCCAAACTATAGATGAATAAATCATTCTTACGAACATCAATTCGTTAGAGATTCGTTAAGTCGTATAGGAAAGATACGTCTATTTTGACCAATCTAATATCGTACAAAGAAAGTGTTTCACCGTCTTCATGGTTTAAACTTCTACAGAAGCCATTACAGGTTCTTGAGATCGAGGCTAGAACCGGTTTTAGACAGTTCATCCGCAATTACATCTCGTTTATAAACTTTCGACCTTAATTTCGATATCGAATTTCAGGTCCATCAGATTTTCCTCCTGACACTTTTTTGGCCCATTGCGGCCAATCTAATAATCGGACAAATATCATAACATTATCTTAATCGTTGTTTTTGACAAAACTTCTCTAGAAGTCATTAGAGGAAATATTTAGTCCCATAGCTTGATCCTATCATCGAGGAGAGAACTGGTTTTAACCTGTACATCAGCAATTATATTACCAATCTAATATCGGATAAAGAACGTGTTCAACAGTCTCATCTTCCTCTTTGTTTTTGACAAAACTTCTACAGAAGTCATATTTGGTCTCATTGCATCCGTTTTACCTATTATCGAGGCGAAAATTGGTTTTAACCAGTACATCCGCAATAACATTAACGGGAATAACAGAGTGAGCCGGCTCTCTTAATCAAATATGTTCATTTTGAGAACAAATTGCAGGTCCAGGATATCTTTTAATATTAATAATCACCAAATTTAAACGATTAAATTGTAAAGATATTGTTGTATTAAAGTTTTCGGAGTTAAAAATTGTTTTAGCGATAACGACTAATGTTTAGATATCTCGAATAAGAAATATGATATAACAGAACTTTAACCTTTTTTAAAAGTTGAGAGATTTAGCTTTCAGATGACATAACACAACTTTATATAAAGGTGGTATACAAAATTGGATGTGAGGATTCAGACGTACATATGTAGAGCATGTAGAGGGGAAAGTGAAAATCTAGAGAACTTTCTTTGTAGAAATTAGATACAAATATCTTGGGAGTGATATTATGCCGGATATAACATCCTTCACCAACACTGATTGAAAAATTCTTAGAAATTTGGTCCAGGAAACTGAGTTTCTAATCATCGGTACGATAAAGAGAGGTTCTCTGGAATAATGAATGTTAAGTCATCTTTAAAATGAGAATTTGGAATTTTTTCCAAAAATCAGTCCTTATGAACTTATGTACTTTCAAAAGTTTCACGTTTTGTCTATTAGATTTCGTCGTGTTCCTATATCTATTAGGTTTCGGGCTCTTTATTGTGACATATCTCAAACGATGCGTATTTACTTTTGTTTTCATTAGGTATAGCAACATGTTGCTAAGACTAATGTATCTGTATTTGGTTTAAATAAAGAATACAAAAAACGCAATTTTCGGGAGTTTGTTTTTTTTTTTTTTTTTGTTCAAATTACAATATTTTTTTTATTATTTTCTGTTCGGTTTTTCTATTTAACAAAAAAGAAATAATAATAATAGTTACTTAATAATATTTAAACAAAATAATAATAATAATTAATAATAGTTTTAATGAAAAAAACATTTCGGTTTTCTTTTTTACTTTTGTAGTTTAACTAAATAAAAATTAATAAAATAAAAATAATATAATAATAATTAATAAAAACAATTAATTGGAAAATAAAACTTTTCTAAAATACAAACTAACAACAAACACTTGCACTACTACTCACTACTTTGATTAGGCTTAATTAAATATTTAATTAATTTATTTATTTAAAAATTATATATTTTTTTTTTTTTTGTAATATTTTTTTATAATTGTTTATAAACAATATTTTATAATTAAAGAATTATGATTTGTTTAGATTTTTTCATAAGGAAATCCATTAAAATTAAAAGAAAAGAAAGAAATTTTTCAAAAATTAAAATAAAAATGTTTTGAAACAATAGTTTAAATAATTTCAATTCAATTATTAAAAACTTAAGAAGAAAAAAGTTTTCTTTTATTATTTTCATTTGTAAGAGAGGTAAACTAAGTTTATTTAATATTTAATTGTTTAAAAAATAAAATAAAAATTTTAAAAGAAAATTTTAAATATTAATTATAAAAAGAAATTATTTATTTGCAACATTTTATGTTTCTTGTATTGTATCGTATTGTTTGTAATAACTAAGGTACTTTATTTTTAATTAATATTGTTTTAATGTTTCTTATAACTTGTTTTGGTAAAATGTTGCTAAACATTTTTTTTAGGTTTTTTTTTGTTGTTTTAGTAATGAGGTCCTCTACACTGCTAGGCGTTGTGTATGTGTGTGTGTATTTTTTTCATTAATTTAGTTAATTATTTATTTTTTCAATAAAATTAAATTGTTTATAAGCTGGTATTTTGTATTTTCTTTTCTTGTTAAGTATTGCTGTTTTTATGTAATTTTTTTTGGCAAATAAATGTTGCAGCAATATGTTTGTTAAAAGAAAACTGTTTTAAAAATATGGAAAATTTCAAGGTTTAAAGTTTTAACTCTTTAAAGCTTTTGTTTACAATTTATTGAATATATGTTATTTTATGGTTTTAGAAAGTGTTGGCAACACGGTAGCTTTGCAACAGACTTGCAACAAAGTTTTTATGTTTAAAATTAAACTAAATTTAAAAGAAAATTTGTTTTGTATTGTAAATGTATTTAAACATGTTTATTTTAATCATTTCTGTTGTCTTTTGAAATTGCAAGAATTTCAAAAACAAGTGGTTACCTTGGTGAAATTTAAATTTTTATATTGCTCAACATGTTGCTGAACATTTTGTATAAACAATATCATTGTTTAAGGAACGGAATAATGATAATAAACAATCTATGTTCAAACTAAGGGAGAACATAAAAGAAACATGTTGCCAGTAAACATATTTATTTAGCAATATTTTAGTTTTATGTTTAGCTTCATAAGCATTCACCGAAGTGATAGAAAATTGGAAATTTAAAGCGAAAGAATAATGTTGCTAACTAGATTATATGTTGAGCAACATGTTTTGTAATACTTACAGAAAGTAACTCATTATTCAATTACAAGTAAAGTAGAATATTTTGAAATAACTGTTCTTTTAAACATGTTGCTAAGAATATAAATCTTCTTTGAAACATATTGTAGAGGAGATATTTTAATTGTACAATACAACAATTAAATGTAAACAATTCTGGATAACAATGATGCAATATGTAGCGATAAGTTCACATTCATATACTTTTACTGTGTGCAACATTTTGCGTATGCTATACCTCACTTTAAAAGTATTTACCGCAATATAGATAAACATGTTATAGTTGACAGTTTGTTCACATTAAACACATCTAGTGAACATTTTTATTTCATATTTATTGTAAATCCTGACAGCAATGTGTATATAGCTCTTAAGAACAACATGTTGCTAAACATTAACATTTCAAAAACACCAGTTTAAACATTTTTTACAATAACTTAAAAGTTTTATTAGTAAATGTTTTTAAATTGTTGATTTTTAACAATTTTTTGCAACAAGTTGCTAAAACTTAAAAACGTTTTGAGTTAATACCAAAAATCTTCGATATTTTTAGTTTTTAAGAGAATTGTATTCATTTTTAATCCATAAGATTTGCTTTAAAAGCTCTAAGGAACATTTTTTGTCTTGGCAACAATGTTGCCAATCACTTGGAGAATACATTTTATAACATTTTAATAAAATAATAGTTGAAATCTTCTCAATTTCGCCCCTGATTTATCTTAGCAAAAAATGGAGAGATCTACATGTTGCTCTACCAATTCTGCAGATGTTGCAAGTTTTACTTATAAAATAAAAATATTGTCGATCTTTTCAGTTTTAGTAAGAGGTTTAAAATCATTTTATATTGAGAAGTAATACTACATATGTTGCATTGCTTTGTTAAAGAACTATATTGCTGACTAAGTTTAGATGTTAGAAGTTCTACTTACAAAATTAGGTTAAAAATTACTGTGTTTTATTAGGTTTTGAAGTAGCAAAATTTTGTCGGATGGGTTGAGAATTTATCCAACAAATGTTGCTACACTTTTTGCAAGAACCATACTTATGCAATTCTTTCAATCAGCACTTTACTTGAAATTGAAAGTTTTGCAACATTCAAATTGCTACAGTTTGATTCAGAAGCAAAATCATTTGTAAAATGTAGCAAACATTTCTGGTTAAAATGTTGCTAAACATTAACAACATTAAAAGAATACTTTGCTTACTTTAATGTCCACTATTTTCTTAAATTGTTGCTAAATAATTTTTTAAGCACTTTTTTCCTCCAAACTTCCTACAATAAATCATTAATAACTTGTTATGCGTTTATGAACACGGGATTTAATTTTTAACTTATTTAAAAGTTATATGTTGCAACACAAAGTTGCTAAGAAGTTTGAAGCTCAACATTGTTTATGTTGATAGTAAAATTAGTTGAAGTTTTCTGAAATTGTGTTGTGAATTTGTTTTCTGTGTGTTTTGCTACAATTTGCTTAATATTTTGATCCTGTACTTCAGATTCTTTTATGGAATTCTGGCTAATAATCAACTGATTCTTTTTTAAACATTGTTTAGCAACAATTTTGCTTGTGAATTAAAGTTTTCTTTGTTTTTTTTTCTGTTTAAATTGACTATAATTTTCTTCATGAAACTTTGGCACCTTATCTCCTGACTATTATTTCAATATCTGTTGAGCAACAATGTTGCTGGTGAGTGTTCTAAAGTTGTTTGCTGCTTAAACATTTCAACAACTTCAGATTTCTAGAACACGTAATAACTTAATATTCTAAAATTTAAGTTACATGTTGCAATTGAGAATAAATATAGAATTTAGAAACTTTTCCTTTCATAAGGTTTGGCAACAATATTGCAAGTTCTGGCTACTAATCAACTGATTCTTTTTGAAACATGTACTTAGCAATAATTTTGCTTGTGAGTTAAAGTTTTCTTAGGTTTTCTTCTATTTAAATTAAAAATAAATTTCTTTATGAAGCTTTGGAAAGTTATCTCTTGATTCCTTATAGCAACATCTGTTGAGCCACAATGTTGCTGGTAAGTTTTCTAAAGTTATTTTCTGCTTAAAATTTTCAACAGCTTAAGGTTGCTAGAACAAATACCGCCTTAGTTTCCAAAAGTTGTAGGAAGCAATATGTTGCTATATAGACTAAAGATGTAAAATTTTAGCTTCATTTATAATTCCAAAACTTTGTCAGTATTAGAAACATGTTTAGCAACAATATTGCAAATACTTTTAAACTAAATACTCAACATTTAGCATGCCTTTTTCTTAAAAAAGTGTTGAAATTTGTAAAAGTTTTAGAAAACAAACTTTTAAGTGATTTACAAACATTCAGTTGTTTTATAAAACTTTGATAAACTAAAAATAAGCTAATATGTTGAGGTAAATGTTTAGCAACAATATTGACAAGTTAACATTGAGTTATTTATTTCAATTTAATATTATTTATAAACAATTTTGTTAAAGCTTGTTATAAAGGCGTATAGATGGTTATAAAAGCTTATAGCTATAAACTCTTATAATGTTTAGCAACAATGTTGCCATTTGTAACAAAACCTTTCAAAATTTCAATATTTCAAAAATTTCCATAAACATTTTAAAACAGTTTTCTTTTTCCGCTTATATTTCTGTTTTATATATATACAAATTAATACACTTACATATATGTTTATATACTTTGTATATTAAGTAACACATGTTGCTGCAACATTTATTTTTTCTTTTTTTTCTTTTTTCAATTTAAATCATTTTTCAGTATTTTTTTTTTCATATTTTGTTGGTTTTTTTTCTTTATTTTGTTTAATTACACTAAATAACTAAATAATGTTGCTGTAGTTTTTGTCTCTTAAGTATTAAATTTTATAATGTTGTTTTTGTTTTTTTTTTATAATAATTTCTTAATTCTTGGTTTTGTTAAACATATTTAATATTTATATCAATCAGTAGTTTAAGTTTAATTTTAGTGTTTACTTATTTTTTGTATTTTGCAAAAATTTTAAATCAATTTTATTTAATATTATTTCAGTATATTATTAAAAAAAAAAAAAAACTCCAATTAACTTTTTTTGTTAAATTAATGCAAGTTTTGTTTGTTTTCGACTCTATATAAAACCTTTAATGTTTCCAATAACCTTGTTTTTTTGTTTATAATATAATTTTTATGCAATTTTTTTTTATTTGTGATAATAATTAATAATAATTTTAGAATTCATTTTAATGAAACTTGCATTGGTTTTTTGTTTTTTTTTTAAATTTTTTATAATTAAACTTATTTAGTTTTATTTTCAAAATTTCTTTAAGTAATTTTTCTTAAAAGGAAAAGTTTTTAACAAAAAAAAAAAAAATCTATTGCTGTTAAGGGTTTTAACAAAAATATAAACTAAATTTATAATTGAGTTTTTAGTTGTAGGTGTAGCTGGTATTTTACAGAGATGGGGTTATATTATTGCTTGGGGGGGGGGTGTGGTTTATGAAGGGGGCGTAAGTTTTACATTACATAAATTTATATATGTAAAAATATTTGTTTTTTTGTAAGTGTTTAAAAAATATTATTAACAATTAGGTGTTTTAACTTTCTTAAAAAAATGATTAAAAAGTTTGTTTTAAATTAAATAAATTTTAGGAGGTGTTTTGTTTTGTTTTAATTGGCGAAAATTAAATCAAGTTTAAGAAAAAAAAATAATAATAAAAATTATTAATTATTTAGTAACAAAGTATGAAGAAGAAATATTTAGCATTACACATCCTGGAATTTTGAGAGACGTGCACGTAAGTCCATGTTCTCCTGTTTTAGCTGCTCTACCTCTTGGTGTAATGTAGCATTCTAAGAGAAAGAGTTTATTAGAAAGACATTTTTTTTATAAAAAAAAAAAACAAAACAAAACAAAACCTACTTCTTTTTCCAAATATCGCGCCCTCATGGCGATTTGATTCTCTTTTTGTCGTCTGGCATCTCTTGAACGTTTGGCAGCAATGTTGTTCTTTCGTCGACGGGCCCAGTATTTGTCATCCTTAAGTTCATCTGGAACAAATTGTTTGCGTGATTTTTTTATCATGGGTTGCGGTTTGAGCTCTTCATCGGAAAATGCTCTAGTGCGCGGATCGAAATCCCGCCCCGATGATGCAAAGGAAAATGCTGGAATATCAAATACTAAATGTTAACAATGTTTCACAAACTGTCCATTTAAAACTAAAATAATTTTATTTTTTTTTTCAACTTAAAGAAAACAATATAAAAATGCATTAAAAGAAAAACAACTGAACTAAACATGAAAAAAAGTATAAAAAAAGTGTTAAATTATTAACATTTAAAAAAAGTAATGGCAAGAAAAAAATAATCTCTTAAGAAGAAATTAATGAATTTGAAAAAGTAAAAATTTTGTTAGCAAAATTTAGAATTTTTAAACTAAAGAAAGAAAAAGCTTAAAAATTTTTTAATAAAACGAGTTTAAAGTAATGTTGCTGCATCATGTTGCCACAAAAATAAAGCAAAATTTATTAAGTTTATAAACAAATCTTAAAAAAAATCTCTTTAATGCTAAATAAATGGACAGTATTGTTGGCAATTCGGAGTTCTTTCTCAATTCTCCCTTGGTGTGTTTTTTTTGCAAAGACAACAACTGTGTAATTAACAAAATTTCTTTTATAAAATTTAAACACAAATGTTGCTGTTTGGCTTTTTAGGTTTAAAGCTCTCTAGCAGCATTTGTTTTTTTGTTAAATAAATGTTGCAGCAACATGTTGTTTAAAACACAAAATATTTAATTTATTTTTTTTTGTTTAATTATCAAATGATATGGACACAAATCTTTTGTTATTTATGTATATATCCAAATAAAATTCATTAAAAAACAGTTCTTTTCTTTAAAAAAAAATTAAATATTTTTTTCTCGTCTTTTGTTTTCTTTTTCTTTAACATTTAGCATTTGATTAATTCAGTATATTACTTGTCAACAAAATTTGTATCATGATTATTAAAACTTAGAAGAACACAAACATAAATATAATATAAATAATATAAAATGTTTTAATTAATTACAAAACTACATAGTTAAACTAAAAAAATTAAAAAAAAATAAACCAAAAATTTTAAACATAAAATTAATTGTGTCCATACCAATTATGTTTGTTTTCATAATTATTTGATAAAAAAAAATTTAACCAAAAATATGTGGGTTAATTTTTTAGTTTTCTTACGAAATTTTTATAAAAAAACCAAAAAAAAAAATTTAAAACAAAAAATATTAAATATTAAATACAACAAAATCTTTGACAACAAGCAAATTTTGTGATTACATTGCCAAATTCTCTCTTTTTGCTTAAATGTTAATTTTATGTTTTTGCTCTTAACGTTGTTGTTCTTTTTTTGTTGTCTCTTTAAGCTATTACTCACTTGATTCAGCTGGTGATGGTGGATTCAAAGTATCCGGACTAATACAATCTGAAGGTGATGGTGATCGTTCACGTTTTGTTGTTATATGTCCAAGTCCCAGTGACAGACCAGCTGCATGACTCAGGGAATCTGAACGATGACCCAAACTACTTGAATGTCCCAAATGGGTACCAGGCAAGCCATCAGGTATATTATTTTCCGATAAAAATTCATCTAAATCGGCATACTGTGGTGTTAAGAAAAAAGAAATTATTTAAAAAAATTTACTCAACAATTTGGTGCTTTTAAATTTATAGTCATTTATTCCAAAAGAACATGAATTTGAGTGTAAAACTAAGCATGCTGCTGTATGTAAGAGTTTCTTTGGATCGTATAAAATTCTTGGATATATTTATTAATTAATTTTTTTGCAATAGATTTTAGCAAAACCTATATTTTTCTTAGATAAAATCTGAAAAAAGTCTTAGGTTTGTATAATATTTTGGTTGTAGTTAAAATATTTAGAATCTCATTGAGTTTTATCTATTGACCGTGAAAATAATGTTCTTTCAAAAAGCAATTCTTAGCTGTTAATAATACAATGAACTATTGTGAATGAATGAATAGTTCATGAAATATTCACGATGGATATTTTTGGGATTTCCCATATACAATTTTGAGTTAAGATAGGTGTCCGTCAGGAATGTGCCCCCTTACCACTTCTATTTAACATTGTTCTGGACACGATTCTTGGTAGAGCCCTCGATAATGGTAGGAAGATAGTGTAGGGATTGGAGAAGCGGTTCTCACCACAACTGTAATATATTGGAACCTCCAAGGGAACAGAAGAAGCGAACGCCCAGCTCATACATGGAGTGAAGTGAAGGCGTTGGCACAAAATAGAACTTATTTCAAAACCTTCGTTGAGGCCCTATGCTCCTTGTAGGAAAAACGGGGATATATTCGTGTAGGATGTAGGTACCGATAAAGAGCTCAATATACTCAAACTCGTTATGAAGAAATCACTAAATCTGTTTCGTTTTAACTTAAGGGTGACAAATACTATGCCCATGAAGTGATATCAGTCCACAAAAACAGAATCAAATCAGAAATTTAGAATTTATCTAGGAAACTTGAGACAGAACTTATCATTTTTAGAATTTTAATACTCCATCCCATACTGTGTCCATTTTCTTATAGAAATCGGTATAGAACTTCTGAAAATATCATTAGTTTTAAAAGTTCTTTCGTTTTTTGTTATTGCTACAGGTATTTTCAGTATTACCCTAAAGTCTGTGTTATATATAGACTTGGTTTGAACGCAAGCATTCTAAATATGGTGGAGCTCTAAAAA